CTATTGTCTTGGCTTTACACCAAACGGCTGAAACAATTCAAGGCATCGCGTCCATTGGTTAGCCAGTTAAGTCCGATAGGTTATCATAGGGAAGGTTCAAGGCCGAAAACTACCTATCCTGATGCAAGATATTTTCGACTTATACTCTTTCGTTTAAAACTGCATATTTTGCCATTCCTTTTTCATCAATTCCATTCATGATCTCGAAGACCAAACAATTGAAGACTTTGGCAAAAGTGATTCAACCAGCAAATAAATTTAGTGATTCTCATTGACATGGATCCATTCCTTCATTCTTTCAGTTGATGATGAAAATAGGAGGATGTGCAGCCACCTATTGAAGATATAGTACGGATGATTGCCTAATCCTAATTTGAAGTTTGAGCCAGAAATTAAAGGAAGAGCATCCAACTAAGAACCGCCACCACAAAAAACTTGAGTTGAGGAAATCTACAAGGGACCGACAACCTTCAAGAAAGTACCTCCATATGAGTTTGTGTTGATTTCTGATCAAGGGGAGCCTGAGAGCTACCAAGAAGCATATTTGAGCCATGCAAAAGAAAGGTTGATTGGAAAAAGGCCATGGACGAGGAGATAATTCTTTGCTTGAAACCAGGACTTATGATTTTAGTGAAGTTGCCTAAAGGGAGGAAAATTCTGAAAAAATAAGTTGGGTCTTTAAATTGAAGAATGTTGGCAAGAATCTGAGTACAAAGCATTCTTGTGTGAAAGGCTTTGGGTAAAAGAAAGGTATTGACTTTGACGAAGGATTTTTCTCACCGGTTGTACAAAGATGTCTTATCTTATTCGGGTTGTGCTTGGCATGCTGCAAAGTTTTATTGAATCTTGAAGTTAACAACTTTTGATGTGAAGACCGCATTTCTTCACGGTGTATCTTTGAAGAATGAGGATTTACATGGAAGCAACCGGAAAGGTTTGTAGAAAATAAGGGATAAAGAGAAATTTGTTTGCAAATTGAAGAAAAGTTTTGTTATGGCCTCAACAAGCCCCGCGGCAATGGTACAAAAAATTTGACTCTTTCATGATGATATAATGGGTTTTTTTCTAAAACCACTTGGCCATTGTGTGTTTGTGAAAAATTTCTTCGGATTGGCAAAATTTATTATTCTTTTGCCTTTTATGTTTTGATTGACATGTTAATTGCTGGGTTAAGATTCTACCATGATATAACAAGTTGAAAGTTAAGTTGAGCAAAATTCTTTTGCTATGAAAGATTGGGACTTGGCAAAGCAAATACTTGGTTATGAAAATTGTTCACGTGATTCGCAAAGAGGGCTGATTTGGTTGTCTCAAGAAAGCTACATTTGAGAAAGTTCTTGAGAGGTTCAAACATGAATAAAAGCAAAGCCGATTGTGCTCCACTTGCAGGTCACTCAAACTTAACTTCCAAATCAATGTCCTTACAAGTGAGAAAGACAAGGAAGAGATGCTGAAAGTTCCTTATGCTTCAGCAGTTGGTTCTTTGATGTACGCCATGGTTTGTACAAGGCCGGATATTGGTCACGTCGTTGGTGTGGTGAGTCGTTTTCTCTCTAATCCGGGTAAAGAACATTGGACAGCGGTAAAATGGATTTTAAGATATCTTCGAGGGACTTCGAAGGTATGTTTGTGTTTTGGGGATGGTAAGCCGATGCTTGATGGGTTCACAGATTCTGACATGGCCGGTGATATTGATTCTAAGAAATCTACTTCAGGGTATTTGATGACTTTTGCAGGGGAAGCTGTGGCATGGCAATCTAAATTACAAAAATGTGTTGCTCTCTTAACTACCGAAGCTGAATTTATTGCTATTACAGAAGCTTGTAAAGAAGAGTTATGGTTGAAGAAATTTTTGCAAGAGTTGGGTTTGAAGTAAGAAAGGTATGTGCTTTATTGTGATAGTCAAAGTGCTATTCACTTGAGTAAAAATTCTACTTTTCATTCGAGATCGAAACACATTAATGTGAGATACCATTGGATTCGTGATGTGTTAGATTCGAAATTGTTACAACTCGAAAAGGTTCACACAGATGATAATATCTCGGATATGTTGACAAAGACTGTAGGAACCCACGTTTTTACGTCTTAATCGTGTTCATGAGCATCTGTATGAATGTGGCTTGATAAGCTTGCATGTGTATGTTTGTAACTTGTTCTGCCTAAGTGAGTGAGATCCATGCCTTGTTTTGATACCTTTGAAGATTGTCTGAGTGTTGTGTGCTTACCTTGCTCCTTCTTTGATGTGAAACCTAGGTCACGCCATGCCTAAGCTATGTTAGCCGATGTTATGCCAAGCCTAGGTTACGCTACGCCTAGACCATTCCGAGCCGAGGTCATTCTCAGCCTAGAAGTATCTTGGAACCCCTTTGTTGACCTCCATCCTTGCCTTGATGCATTGGCCGAGATGTTACCTTCGCACCCAAGTGATCTCGTCCTGGGGTGGTATGACCTAGACCGAGGTGTGGCACATCTAGGCCAAGATGTGGCACAGCTTAGTCAAGTGTTGTCCTTTCTAGCCGAGGTCATTGTCACCTTAGTTGCCGAAGCCCTTCTGTTAGCCGATGTCATTGCCTCGTCAGAGAGCCCATACCGCTTTACTTGTTGAACACCCTTACACCATGCTTTGTTTGGTCTGTCAACCACCTTTTCAGGGAAAACCCAACCAGTCGCCGCCACGTGTCCCCGCAGAGGGTTAACCCCAGAACCGTGTAAGGGAACCTATCATTTGGTATCATAACCTTGCCTTTTAGAGAGAGAGACGCTCTGGGAGGAAGAAGAAGTTTTAGAGTGAGAAAGTAAATCTTCGAGCTTGATTCCTTGAGATCAAACCGATAGATCCGTGTTCTAAGGTTAGATTCTCAATCCGCTCTTGTTGTTCTATATGTCTGTGTTATTGCATTGCATGATTGAAAATGATTTGTAAGCCATGCATCGACTTAAAGTTTGATTTTAGAAAGAGTAAATAGTGCTCATGTGTTCTTGAAGAAAAGTCTTGTTTTGATCCGATGGATTGCATTGAGCATCATGTTTATGTGTTTGTTCCTACAGGAACTCCAAGTATGGGTACCCAGGTCCATGTTTTCGAACTCGTAGCATGAAAATCCCAGATTTTGCGATAACAGGTTGTCATTGAACATTCATATTTTTCATTGTTTTCATGCTCATACTCTTCATGTTCATCAGCAAAGGGAAACCCAGATTTCCCCGACCTCTTTTCTTGAATGTGGTCCTCGGGAACACACCTCGGCGAGGAGGTGTGGAACCTCGGCCTCAACCTGGTTGGTACCCAGCATGTTTTCCGAAATCATTGGTATACATATGAAACTTGTTTGAAAGTGCATTCAATAGGCTTTGCCCTGTGTTTGTAGGACTTGGGCTTGTCTCGACCCCGACGTGTGAAGAAACTATGTGAGTGGTATTTTTAATAAAGCTATGTTACACTTGCTTTCATAAAATCTCGTCTTGCCTTGTTTTGAAAAGTACTTGATCTAGCATGAATGACTATCCCTACTTGTATATTAAGCACTATCTTGTTTTGATGACATTTCTTGAAAGTCCTTAGTTGCAGGGGACTATAATGCAACTGCACTCTTGTCTTGATATGTCATCACCCCTTGAAATAAGTAGATGTTATTAACATCCAAGGAACTTGAAAGCCGGCAAATGAACTTGATTTTTCCTCTTGATTGTAAAGTATACTACGTATTGTTTTGGAAGAGATCTTGGATGTCAATCATGCAAAACCTTTATTTCTGATATCATTCACTGAGTATCCAAGCTCACCCTCTCTATATATATATGTAGGTGATGAACAAGAAGGCAATGAGGCCTAGACGTGATGCCGATGTGTTTTTGGGTGCCTTGCCGGCATGTTTTGGATTAGCATTTTGTACCATCTTGAAGATTATGCTTCTTAGCTTAGATCTCATGTGTATTTGTATATGTCGGCTTGAGAAGCCTTTTGGTCAAGATGTATTTTGTATCTCATTTTCTTATTGTATCTAAGTTGTAAAACTTTATCAAGATGTATGTCATTTCATTGGACTTATGCACGGCTCTCATGGACTATTTAGATTCAGTACATATTGCTTCCGCACTTGTAAGCCCCATATTTTATACTCTGACTGTGTGTGGTTTTGTAAGTTGGCCTTCGGTAATTACGGATTACTGGCCATCACGGCACCAAACTACCAGAGGCGGTTTGGGGGCGTGACAAAGACTTTGTTGAGGGACAAACATTTAAAGTATCGAACTTTGGCGGGTATGGTTGATATCTCCACCTAAGTCGGTAGGGGGAGAATAAAACAAACACACACCCCATTCGGAATGGCAAAATGGGTCGGAGTTACGACCCGAGCCGTTACAATCTGGTTCATCTACGATAGTCAATTCTTGATTTGGTCGTGACTCACTTTTATGATGGAAGATAAAGAGTGGTAGGCTGCAAAGTTGTTAGAGAGGTGACAAAGCTGCAAGGGAGAGAGAGAGGGAGAGGAAGAGGAGATGGGCAGAAGAGAGAAGATTTATAAGAGTGCAGTTGTGCTGAAAGTGGTAATAGTGCTGTCAGAGGGGAATAGATAGTATGGTTGGGTGCTTTTAGAGGTAGAGGAAACAATGGTAGAGGTAGGGTGTTGCTAGTTGTTGTCTGATTGGGGAATGATGGTGGGATTGTAGCAGTACTTTGGTGATGTTGGAAGGATGATGGGATAGAGAGTATCGAAGAAATGGTGAGGGAGAGAGAGAGAGAGAGAGAGTTGTTAGGGAAAATCAATAATTTCCCACAAGTAAATCATTGATTTTCCCTAACAAGAGAGAGAGAGGAATCTCTGGGTTAAGTTTTAATTAGGGTATTTTTGTTATTTTTTATTTAAGTTCAATTAAATTTTACTTTTAAAACATAGAAGATATAAGGATTGTTAACATTGTCAATTGCATTGTTATTGAAGGGAAGGTCAGTATAATCATTTGAAAAGTATTGAGCTAGTTGTAATTTCATCATATGTTAAGGAAAGTTATTATAATTTACCCTGTAAATAACATGGGTGAAACATATTTTCAATGATAGTAGTACTAGTGACCACACCGTTGAATCTGTATGATCATAATTATAAAGAGAAGAAATTATATAGACAAAAAATAAAAAAATAAATTCAATTTTTTGGTGTACAAAAGAACAGGAAAAAAAACTATAGTTCTCAATGGATTGCTTTAGAGCGCCTGAGTCTGAGATGGACGGCATCTGGACTATAGTCCAGACCGTTGTCTGACTCATGGGTTGAACCAGAGCTGGATCCACTGGTGGAGACCGGTTCAAGTTCTTCATGGGTGTGTATGAACTCTGTTTGGCTGTGGAGGTGAGCTTGAACTAAAACTGATTTGGGTGATTGTGCAGCGGCATTTGTTATTCCCAGGGATACTGCCGGAGTTAATTGAAGCTGCCTTTGGTCTGATGGTTGCTTGCCCCTGTCAGCTGCCGAATTGGGGTAGTGGTTTTCAGTCTTCTGCAAAGATTTGTCAAGCCCAGTTTTAGACTTTTGTGCTTGGAAACCATAATGTTGAATATAGTGAACTAGTTCCAATAGAGGCCATCGGGGAAAAAAGAAAAAAAAGATTGTGCGTTCGTGTACATACATTTTTGTTACTAGAATTGTGTCTTTGAATGAATTAATGACTGAAGATTGTCCATGACATTATGATTGATTACATTATAGTTGTACATTTCCAATTTTCTAAGTAGTTGAGGAATTTACAAGCATAATGCTCCGAGTTCTTTGGTTGTCTTTCCGTGCCAAATAGATCGAAATTGGACATCTCTCTGCAGTTCAAATTTGTTTGCTCAAGTGGTAGTTTTGTGATAGGGTTGGTAGAAATTCATGTCTATTAGCATTGACGTCAAAACTTGTAATTTGCAATCAATGGTATTAGTTTGTTGTGCAAAATACTTGCATTTCACTAGAATGTGAAGGGGTTCAAATTTCTCAATGTGCATCTTTTTCCCACTCTCTTCCATTTTGGGAGATTTTTATATTGTATTTGATCTTTTATTGTGATTATAATTAATTAAATTATATTTAAATATGCTTCATCAATAATAAAAGTAAAAAATAACTAGAATAAAAAAAAGATTGGAATTCACTATAGATACAACTACAAAGTGTTCCTATACATGTAATGCCTATTTCTTTTTGTTTTTTCCCTTGAGGCGCATTGCTGCTTCAACCTGAAAGAGAGCCAAAATAAAGCTGAGTGTCGCGAGGAAGGAAGGAAGCGAGTAAAGAATAAAAGGAGAGCGAGAGAGAGGGAGCTAACCAAAGAGAACAACACCATACCTTATTGTTGGTATTTGTGAGCTTTCGAGATTGACCAGTCAAGTAGTCAAAAATTTGGAAGAACTTAGTTTGGCTCAGTTCTGTGCAATTTTGCCAGTAGTAAATGGCCACCTCCCATGACCTGGCCCTCAGTTCCTGGAAACTCCGGTCGAGTCCTGGCTCTTGCATTGCTTTTGCTACACAAGGCCTCAACAACTTCTCATACACATACCCAGTTCCCTACATTACCCAAACACGATTCAATTAACACTCACTATTAGAATTTTAGCACATCATAAACAAGCTTTGGTGATTGCCAAAAAAACTCATTCCTGTGCTTTTGATTAATAGTTCTCTTTTACCTTAGTCTTCGGAAACCACAAGTAGATGATTATTGCAAGCTTCGTCTCACCATACATTGGCACCCTTCAAAAGGGTTAACAAAACTTCATTTAGCATCACAAAATGGATACCACGTAATGAATAATTAGTTAAAAAGATTTGAGGGAACACTGCATACCATGAGATGAATATATCCCCAATTCGCTCAAGGATTGTCAACACGGCCAGGATAACCCTGAAAAATTACCCAATTTGTTATTGTTAGATTTTAGAGTAGAAGCTAGGCTTGTGTTTCCCTTCTCAAAGGGTGTTTTGCCTCTGGGCGTGTAATATCTTTTTTTTGGTATAAAACGCATGACTTATCTACCAAAAAAAAAAAAAAAAACCCCAAGCGCCTTGTAGCTAATGTACTGATACTGATACTGACAATAGAACCTGAAGAATCAGGAGTTGTTTTCTTTTTAGGTCATGTGTTTCCTATGTTTGACTTGTTTTTTTTACAGGGAAATGGTGAAATCTTCAATAAGAAGAATAAGAGGATGGATTGGGGAAAGGATATGTTAACCCGCCAGAAACTAAAACTAACTGTACTAGAGTTAGTTGTAACTGCTTTAGTTGTAACCACTTTAGTTCTTGTAGGTGAGAGGACAATATATAGATAAATAGCTGCAGTGCGTTAGTATATACACTTTGGCATATCTTGATAAAGGAGATGAATAGTATTTCTTCCTTTTTCTCTCTAATCCCTGCTTGTTCTTCTAGATCTATCTTCTTTATTCTCTGAATCTTTAAAGGATACCCTTAAATTTCTTTGTTTTTGGTACACCAACCACACTGGAATTCAATATATTCATCACATTGTACCGACTGTCTTCTTCTCAAAACAGTTGGCATCTGAGCAATGGAGTTGACCATGTTTCCAGGATCTAGGCTAAATAAAAAATAAAAATAAAAAATTCCTTGGTATCCATTCAATAAGTTTATTCTTGATCTAATAACAAAACAAATGCAAATTGGACCATCTCAGATTATTTCTCATCCATTTTTCTTCCATGATCATGATGTTGGTTAGGTAAATATATAAATCTAAAAAATAATCATTTAATGAAATTTGATGGGTTTAGAAGAACTAAATACACATCTAAAAAATGAAAACAAATTTCAGTCAACTCCAACTGCAAAAAAATAAATAAAGAAGTTTCTTACCAATATTGACACCAAAATTGAAGCTCTGCCTTCTCAATTTTGTTCTTCTCCATGGTTTTGAAACACTCAAAGGCAGGGTATGCATACCCAAGAACCAACCTGCCATCCAAATTCATATAATCAGAAAAGGAAAAATTGAGAAAGAAAAAGAAAAAGATACAAAAATAAAGCAGAGAAGGAAAAAGTGCAAAAAGAAAGACTAGTTCTTCACATACACAAGTCCTCTGGTAATGAATTCTCCCAACATCCTTAATGCCTCTGTCTCAGAACCAACCAAAGCTCCTAAACAACCAAAGATTTAATACATATGTGAATTTTCAAGAAGTTGACTAGTCACAACAATAATATTTTCCAAAATTTTGAAAGCAAAACTTGGTTGAATCATTCCTGTTATGAAAAAACAAAAACAGAACAAAACAAAACACAAGAAAGCAATCACACCAATGAACTTGTGATCCTTTGCTGGAAAAGGTCAAGTGGTCTAAAACACGGGTATTTGATGGATTCAGACTCTGCATTCGGATGGAAAATTTATCAGAAGCAATTCCTTCAAAAGAAAAACAAAGAAAATACAAAGGAAAAAAAAAAATAAAAAATTAAGGGGTTTGAGATTAGAAAGAAATGGACCCATATTACCTTGGGATGAAGGTAGGATTTGGGATTCCTCTGTTTGGGTGAATAGCAACAAAATTCCCAAAAACTTGATGACAAGGAAGAAGAAGTTTCGTTATGCAGATATATATATATCTACAGAGTATGTGTACTATATAAAGATGAACAGTTGTGTGTGTAAATCAAACAGCAATTGGGTTTGGGTAAAACTTAGAAGGAAGAAGAAAAAGAGAGAGAGAGAGAGAGAGTTGTGTGTGTAAATCAAACAACAATTGGGTTTGGGTAAAACTTAGAAGGAAGAAGAGAGAGAGAGAGAGAGAGAGAGAGAGAGGGATTTCTTGCCACGGACGCCTTCTGAATATTTAAATACGAAGGAAGGATTCTTCCAACAGATTTACTGTTTGGCAGTTATATGGTCTTGTAATGCATTTCGTCATTTTTTTAAAGTGGAAAATTTGATTCATCTACCTTCACTTGGATTAATAATATACAAACACTTCGGAAATGGTCAATAAAAAAATTACAGTTGACCTCAAATTTATATTTAATTTTTGGTATTTGATTCGATACATCGAAGTTACAATACAACCATTAAAAACAAAAAGTCAGAAGTTTATAATTATTAAATCAATTAGAAATTTAAAATCTCTTTTTGGTGTTTTTCACATTTGAAATTATTAATATTGGAAAATTGTTATTTTATTCATGTGATAGAGAGAATCAACATTTGTATTTTTCTATAGTGATTTTCAAATAGAGAAAACTTGGATTTACGTAAAATTCATATAAAAAATCACAAAAATGATAAGACAATATTATTATTGTAAATAAATTTATTTTTTATTTTTGAAGTGAAAGGTATATAATGGGCCACCTTATTATATATGAAAATTATGTATAATCTTTATTATTATTATTATTATTCGTATAGCATTACTTACAGATTAATAGACAGATCACTCTCAGAACCACATCCATGTGGATATTCTGTGTTTTTGTAGATAAATTATGTATAAGTAAAATTGTTATTTCATTATATTGACTATAATCTGATCACATATCTTTTGGGTAAATAATCAATACGTCCAAATAGTTGCACTTAATTTTCATTAAATTCTATTGAGAATTAGTTTTAGTAAAATCATCGTTAAAAATAAATTTTTGTGACGATTTTTTATATTTGTTGCTAAAAATTAACAATTAGTGACTTTTTTGTTACGATTTTTATAAATTGTTACTAAAACTTATATTTAGTGACGTTTATCTGTTATGAATTTTTCAAACTATCGCTAAAAGTTGAAAATTAGTGACTTTTTTGTGACAATTTTTTTAAACTATCACTAAAACTTATAATTATTGACATTTTTTGTGACAAATTTTTTAAATTGTTGCTGAAAATTAACAATTAGTGACTTTTTAAATAGTATTTAATGAAAAACGTTATTAATTATCACACGACTTATTAAACAATAAATTCATCTATTAAGAGTTACACGTAAGTCCCGTTTGCTTTTCAACTCTGTATTATTATTATTATTATTATTATTATTATTTGAGAATGATGAGAACGATTCAATTTGTGACTGATTTTTGAAAACTTGTAAATGCATCACAAAAATTTGTAAGTACATCCATATTATTTTTACAACCATTTCACAAATTTATTGTTATTATTATTATTATTTTCTTTCTAAATACAACTAGATGCAGGGAACAATACTGAGATGAAACTCAAATACAAAGAACAAACACAAATTTGATAAAAGAGAAACTAGCTTTAAAATATAATTAATTCTTCAAAGTAATATGTCTTATTCTAAAGCTTACAATCTCTATTTATAATAAAACGAATGAAATAAACTGAAAAAGACAATACTTGCAAATCAAAGGAATTAGAAAAATTACCAAACATGAAATGATTTGAGTTAAGCTTAAATTTAGAAACCATAATAAAAATTATATATTTTGAAAAAAAATATAAACATAATTAGATTCGTATAGACTGAGTTATAGACAAAATAATTATTTAAAAAAATGGAAAAATTACAAAATTCAAGGCCTAAATATTAGAATTTGTTTGAAATTCATCGGAGGCCATGGCAAAGCGATGAGTATTGATTGTCACATTATTTTTCATATCCCAACTAAATTTCATGATATTCTAAATACGTGTTATGTTATGTCTATTAGTGTCTTTGTCTCATTTGTCCATACATGCTAAAAATTTTGTGGCTAAACAATCAGCATCATTTTAAGCTTCATTTGGTATTGGCTATGGTAGTCAACTTTTTTTGTGTTGAGACTTTTTTAGCCTGATTTTTTTAACCTCGTTTAGTTTTTGTTTTGAGATTTTTTTGATTTTTGTGAGAGAAAAAAATATAATAATTATGGTTTGAATGTAATATTTTGTCTTATTAATTTATATAACCTATTTTATCTTTTTGTAATTTTTTAATCCCAAAATGTTTATCAAACGAGGAGTTAATCTTAAGTTCATCCTGTCTTCAACCTCTTCACTTTCTACACCGTCACATCTCTCTCTTTTCAAGAGTGCACCTACAATGGATTACAAAAATGATTGAGGTTCTTACTTTTTAGAGACTTCCACAATTTCTTTTAGATCTCCACCATTGATGGTATGGACTCTACACATACATGAGTAAATATCATACTTATATCAATAGTTGAGATCTAAAGAAAATTATGAAAATCTCTAAAAAAATAGAGATCTCAAACATTTTTGAATGGATTAAAGCATTACCTTATTGTGCTAATAGCCGACTCCAACATGTGTTATCTGGGTTATTCTGACAAAGTCACTTGATTGTCTAGCGTCCCAGTTGGTATACCATGCCGTACCCCATATCAATAAAGAATAAAAAAATGAGTCCATTTTTTATTTTTTTGAGACTACCTGCTTGGCTTATGAATTTAGAAAGAAATTTAGAAAGGGAAAAGAAAAATACATGTGAAATATAAATATAATATAATTATATTTTATATATTTTTTATATATATTTTGTTATTTTTCTTTTTAAATACCTATTTAAAACTATAAACCAAACATAATTTCACATAATCGTAAGCAAAGTGCAAAGGTTCCAATGGGTGACCAAAAAAGTGATAGGGGAAACGTGTAAAGGGATGTCATAACAATAATAATCGCGTGGAAACATAAAGAAGAGAAACTTTTTATTTAGGGAGATTAGGGGTGAGATTGGAGTAGAAAACCATCTCTGCCATAAGGTATTTGTGTTAGAAAAGTATTTGTATGACTGCAAGGATAAAGTATGTGTCCAAAAACATCCAATAGTATTAGAATACTTCATCTTCATAATCACAATTATACTTGAAGGGGAAGTGCGGTCCAAAGCGTTTTTGCTAACGGAGTTTCCTCAATGTGCAATTACGTTAGCATCACTCCGATTAAAATGTTGTTTTCATAATTGAGGCCTTGTTTGGTTGTGCCTTTTTAATTTAAAAGTCAAAAAAACTATTAAAAAAATAAAGGTCTATAACTTATATTAAAAAGTTAAAAATTTTATTTTTTCTTTACTTTTTGCACATCTTTTCGTAAAAAATTAAAAAGTTATTCTAAATATATTAATTTTTTTACCTCATATTTTAGTCAAAAAATTATTAAAATAATCTGTTTTCAAACGAGATCAGATTTTGTTGTTGAGTCAGGGCCAACCCAAACGGAAGGCGGCCAAGGCAGGCCAACCTCGAGCTCACAATTTTTGTTTAAATTTGGCGGCCCTCAAAGTAATTTTAACTCATGTTATATTAGTAGTTCATCAAAACAATTTAAAAAACAATTGAAGCCACAAGTTATTTACAAATTATGGATAGTTCTTCGCTAAATGCATAAATTATTTATATAATATGATTGATTATGCTAGTTATAGAAAAAAATAAAAATTTTAAAGTTGAAGTGGATAAAATCTTACGTATCACATGATTGAATAAATTAAGAGTAGTGTTACTCTAACTCAATGAAGTGACAGTCTATTAGAATATTTAAGATAACTTTCTCTATCACGTTTTCTTTAATTATCAATTAATTATATTTTTTACATATTATTGGGTCTTGAAAGTGGGTTTAAAAGTAAGATTCTATATATCATTTTTCATAATTAATTGTGTTATTTACGAAAAAATGATAGGGTAAATAAGTTAAATTATGAAAGCTCAATTAGTAATTTTAAAAGGGTTAATTACACTTTTCTCCCTCATAATTTGTCCAAATTTCCTTTAGTCTATATAATTTCAATCTAAACAATTTAATTCTTACACTTTTAAATCTTGTTTCAATTTAGTTTTTCCATTGAAGTTTTTGTTAATGTTGTCTACTTGTATACCTTAGAAAATTGACGAGTAATCCAAAATTATTAATGTTAACCACCAATTTAGATGGAAACTAAATTGAAAGCTTTAAAAATTGATAACAAATGTTCTAAAATTGTTAATTTTAACCTTCAATTTAGACAAAATAACCAAATTGTAAGTAAACTTAAAATGTAGGAAACAAATTATTCAAATTGAAACTATAGGGATTAAAGTGAAATTTGAGTCAAACAATATGGGTGAAAAGTGTAATTAACCCATTTTAAAACTAAAAATGCTAAAAGTGTAATGTTTAATTGAAATTTCACTACAATTGGTTCAATTTTTGTATGGTATTGTAGTTTTAAATTTTTCTTTTTGATTTTTTTTCAGTCCTAAATTGGGTTTTATTAACTTATAAAGCAAGGAGACCAATTAGACACGTAACCAATGGAATGAAATTGTTAAATGGTGGGGAATGACATGGGTATGCCTTGGTGATTTAAGCTCTTTGACTGCATTTTGGATGGACTTAGATATATAGTGGGTTCAAGGAGCTGATTTGGTAATCTGTTTTATGCAGCTTTAGGCTATTTTTTGATAGACTCAAGGTGAAATGGGAAGAGGTGGATGAGTTGATTAAAGTAAGAACAGTTTCTTGGTTAAAAAGCAACATAAATGGAGTGTTTTTCACCATTGATGATTTTGTTTACCATATTGAAGGGAGTAAAGATCTTAATATTGTGTTTGGTTAGAGGATTTGTGAAAGGATTTGGAAAGCGAAAGAGAAAATGTAGGTAAAATGTAAATAAAATAACTTACATTCACTTAATTTCAAAGCACTTTTTTTTTTCTCTTTCTAAATTTCTTTTCAAATCTCTCAACTAAACACAATTTACAGATTCAGAAAATGAAATTTTCAATAGAGACTTACTTGGCGGATACATTATGGTCATGTTTGTTTGGGAGATTAGGGGTGAGATTGGAGT